GGTGGCTCCTGGTATCTCAGGGAGGGAAGGATTTTGGGAGGACTTGGCCTTGTGGAGTTAGGTCCAGCCCATGTGCCTAGGCCTCATACTTTTCGGTGGACAGAGCCCATTTCCTGTGTGTGTTGGCATCACCAGAGAGAAGAGAACTTAACCAGTCCCACCCGCTTCACCTGGTAGCCTCTCTGCTGGCTCAGACAGTAAAGAATCTGCCTGCAATGCAGGAGACTCGGGTTCAATCCCTGGGTCAGGAAGATTCCCTGGAGAAGGGCATTGCAACCCTCTCCAGTATTCTTGCCTGGAGAATCCCATGGACAGAGGAGCCTTGGCAGGATACGGTCCATGGGGTCACAAAGAGTCGGACACAACTGAGCGACTAAACTCATTTCACCCACTTCACAAGCTTAGGGTGCAACTGCTTTCAGTATTCAAGTGAAATTAAGATGAGCTTAAGTATCTTCCGTGCTGTGATCAGGGTCTTTATCTCACCTGAGTCCTTGTCCCTTGATAACCTCAGGGAACTAATGTGAGGGGTCGCTGCTGGTTACTCTTGTCTCTGGTCCTGCTTCTCAGACTTGGATGTCATCTGTCCCCTGGAGACCTTGTCAAGCAGGTTCTGGTCAGCAGGACGGGGCCTCAGGGCGATACTGATGCTCAAGTCCAAGGACACAGTTCGGGTGCAAGGGTCACGGGTTCCCGGTGCTTTGCAGGTGGTGGTGTATGTGAAAATGTGTGGCACACTGGGAAAGCTGCTTTGGCTGCCTCTAGCCCGGGGACCTCGGGGCTCAGGGATTCAACTTCCCAGCTCACTTCTCACCCATTGGAGGCACAGAGTGGGTCAAGGTGCACTAAGTTAGGAGGACAGAGAATAACCCCAGTTGAACCATACACCTGGGTGTGGGTATGTCTCATTCTCTCCGACTGTTTTTGCAGGTGCCCCCGTGGTGTGATTGAAAACAGGCCACTCTCGGGGCCCAGAAATGCCTGTGCTCCCCCAGAATGCTGTCTTGATCCAGCTATGTTCTTGCTGGGTGCAGAGCCGGGAGAGGAAAGCTGTCTCCCTGCTGTTGTAGTCAGCTGTGGTCGCCACGGACCCCATCGGCCTAGAGTCCCAAGATGCAGTTTCGTAGATACCCGGCTGTTTCAGGGTGTGTGCACACCTGGAGGGGTGTGTTGCTGTGTGCCCAGGCATGCACAGGTTTATACACGCATACATGTGCACACACACATGGGCACTCGCATACAGAGCCGTGTCCGCTGAGTTACACCCCTTGTGCCAAAAGAGCCGAGTCAAAGAGTTCTTGCTTCAGCCGCCTACTGTGCCCTCGGCTGCCCTCTCACACAACCAGACTTCTGCCCTCTATGGCGTGCCCTCTCTGGGGCCCCTGGGATTCCGTTTTGGTCATCTGTCTTCATCTGTGCCCTCCTTGGGTCTGTCAGAGATATAACATTTTCAAATAAGGTAGAACCTAAAAAAAATAAAGATGAGATCTCAGACCCTGCCTTTCCAAGGGGCCTCTTTCTGTGGACCATGGTGGCAAAAGACTGACTCAGATCGGTGGCCCATTATGCCCTTTGCTCAAAGCCCCATGTGTATGTTCATGGAACTGAAAGGAGCTCTCAAATGGCCTTCCCAGAACAAAGCTAGTCTGTGTCGATGTCTCCTCGCTGTAAATAGAACACTTTGCAACTTATAATCGGCAGTTAGTTTTATTAAAACAGTCACTAAAATATGCAGTTGGCAATCTCTCTCTCAGGAGGCACCCACCCGCCACCCACCAGGAACTGACCCCGGGAATGTTTGCTGTCCTCACGCCCTGAACGTGGTTTGGCTGAAGCACTCTCCTTTCTCTCCAGGTCCATATTCAAGCCTTTCATCTTTGTCGATGATGTAAAACTAGTCCCCAAAGCACAGTCTCCCTGTTTTGGGGACGATGACCCAGCCAAAAAGGAGCCTCGGTTCCAGGAGAAGCCAGACCGCCGGCACGAGCTGTACAAGGCACACGAGTGGGCCCGTGCCGTCCTGGAGAGTGACGAGGTGAGCCTGGCTGGGGGCCCTGGAGCGGGTGAGGTCACCAGGAAGGAGACCGGAAAGCGGATAACAAGCTCATCATTCTCCTCTCCAGCTAGTCTGCTTCCAGAAACCCAGGCTCCCGAGGTCCTTGCTAGAATGTTGGTGGTAATTGTTCCAGCCAGCCTCTCAAAACCCAGTGAAAGCAAGCCTCCACTTTTGATGTTACTCAAAATGCAGTGGCCTAAGAATATCCCTCTTTTACTTACTGTCCACCTGGGAATAACAGAAATGTGCAGTACTAGTCGGGAGAACTGGTTTTCTGCAGTCAGAAATTCTTTGTATATTTTTGGAGGTAAAAAGTATTATGGCAGCACTTTAAAGATGGAATCATAGTTTTTTTTGTTTTTTTTTTTTTAAGTGATTCTTCAAAAAAATCCCTGGAGATGGTTGGTGGTGATGGTTGCATCAGTGTGAATGTATTTATGCCACTGAACTGTATGCTTAAAAATGGTTAAAATGGTAAATTTTAAATTTGTATATTTTTTTCTTGTAAAAAGTTTTTAAATTAATTGTCAGTTTTAAAACAGTTATTCTTCAAAGTGCAACCCTCCCTCCTCCACCCAAAACTTTGGTTATTAAAGTTACATTAATTCAAACAAGAGAAATATTCAATATATGCCCATAGCTGCTGTTAGTGACAGGCTTTCAAGTAAAATCCAAGTCTATATATTTTTTAAACAATTTTGCCTGTGCTGGGTCTTCATTGCACTTTTCTCTCTAGTTGTGGAATGTGGGCTCTAGAGTTCAGGCTCAGTTGTTGTGGCACACGGGCTTGTTGCCCCATGACATGTGGGATCTTAGTTCCCTGACCGGGGATTGAACCTGCGTCCCCTGCATTGGGAGGGGGATTCTCAACCACTGGACCACCAGGGAAGTCCCTCCAGACTTCTATTTCACTGACAGAGAAGGAAGGAACGTAGTTGTTAGATGCTTATCTGCTTCCCAAGCATTTATTTAACAACTTGTAAAATTCCATTTTGTCTTGAAAAGAGGGACATCTTATAGGGAATTGGTGCACACATTTTGCATGGACTGGGTAAGCTTATTCTCTTCCATCTGGTATAGTGGACTTTCTAAAAAGGCTATAAAGAAGGACAACATCAACAGTAAATCCAAGTGAGTTCAGAAAGCATCTCCAAGAAGAGTAGTTTCACTGTTTCTAGAACTTGCTCTTCTGTGCCCCAGAAATGACCATCTGACATGTAAAAGTCACACAGTTCCTTGATATTTGTCCTACCTGCCAGATGTGTCCCCGGAACCGAAATGCTGCCCCTGCACTGTGTGGAGCTCTGTCCAGGGCTGCCTGCCCTGCTTTCTGATGGTGCATGTTTTAGGTGGATGACAGTTAACCTGAGTAGGGGGAAAATGTCACTCCCTGATGCGCTGTTTTCTGGTTATTTGGCAAATGAAGGCAGGGGTAGGAAGGCCCGAGTATTCTGAGGCATCCTACACAAAATTTCCAAGAGATGAGATAGATGAGGCTGGGTGGACTTTGAAATTTGAAAATGACCATTGGTTTGAGTTAAGGCAGCGCTGGGAGATGGTGGATGAATGGTGACATCTGTTTCTCTGTTCTGGGACTAACTGGACAAATGAAAGCTTCTCACTGTCATCCACTGTGAATGAGTGACTCTCACTTAGAAGGAGAGATGTCACCCCTTCAGAAGAAAAAGTGAATTGGGGATAGACATGCCATTCATGGATCCATTTGTTCGTTCAAAAGTCATTGTTGATAGTGCCTCTTCTGTCCCACGGAGGAACGTAGAGATCCACCTAGTTCTTACTCCCTGGGTGATTGTGGTCTAACGGGGGACACAGGCGAGTAGACAGACCATCACAAGACAGGAAGAGAACAGCCATGGCAGAAGGAAAGGCATTGGATGGGGGAGCCCAGAGGAAGGGCATTCTGAAGGTGGGCACGAGCTGACCAGGTGTTGGCAGGGAGCAGGGTGGCCTGTGCAGTGGCGAGGAGGAGTATAAAGGGTTGGAGGAAGGCAGCTAACTCAGTCTGGCTGCAAAGAAAGGAGATGCAGGAGGCAAGGCAGGAGGCGACGAGCAGGAGCCAGGGGGCCGCACAGGGCCTTTCCCACTGTCCCTCAGGGTCTGGGTTGCACCCTGGATGCAGTGGGAGCTCTGTAAGTATTCCAGGCGGAGCAGTGACATCGCCACGCTGGGGCTTTAGAGGCACCCCGTGGCCGTCCCGCACTGAATGGAGTGGGGGTGGGCCCTCAGGGGGCTTTCAGCGTCCTCTGCAGTGGCCCCCACTCTTTTTGTCCTTCTCAGGAGCAAGGTCAGAAGCTGAGGAAGACAATGCTAGAACTAGAGAAGCAAGGCCTGGAAGCCATGGAGGAAATCCTGACCAGCAGTGACCCCCCGGACCCCGCCGAAGTGGGGGATCTCTTCTATGACTGTGTGGACACGGAGATTAAGTTCTTTAAGTGAAGTAAGCGTTCCCTTTCCCCTTCTTATTTAAAACTTCCCACCTTACTAAATTACCAGCAAAACAAACCACTCTCCTGTCCGAGTAAAATGAGAAAGTTCAGATGCGTCAAAGTCACACTGTCCCCTTGTGTTCTGCCTTGAACCTCACAACGCCGCCCCCTTCTGCAGCGTAGATCCCCTCCTTCTGCCGTGTATAATGTGTATCCCCTTGCCTGTTGTCCGATTGTATGACTGTGGATTTTAAGCTGCTATTATTGTATTTCAGTGACAGTGGACACATTAGCCTTTTCATGGGAGGACTAGAGTCCATCAAAGCCGTGAAAGACAGGCTCCTTGGCGCCGAGTTTGCGGGAAAGGCAAAATCTCTTGGTCTTACTCTTTGAGTAGCGGTTTCTTTCAGGTTAACAAAAGGCGTTTGTCTGGCCCTGAGCTCTTCTATGTGTGTGCCGGAGGGAGGCTTCCACTGAGTGCAGGCCAGTAACGCAGAATGCCCCCAGCTGTGTCTTCTGAGATGCAAAACAAGTGGGCAAAAAAAGTGGGAAGGAATGAAGGGGGCTCCGCTGGCTCCAGGCACAGCTCCATCCGGATTCTCTTGATCCGAAAGAACCTGTGCACGGTGGTTGTGTGTGGTGGATCCACACAGATGGCTTCCACCTGCTGTGTGAGCTGGAACCTGCCCCACCCCGCCCCCACCCCCATAGGGATTCCGGGGCGGCTGCACGGAACACTCCTAATCCGGGTGTGGCTCTCCTACAAGGCGAGGGGCTGTCCCTGCTGCTCACCCGCCACGCAGATGCGCTTGTGTCTTGAAATGATTCTGGGCCTAGTTACTGCCATCTAGTTTAGAATTAATTAAATGGCCCTGTGGCAGAGTTCCACCCCACAAAGCTGCAAATTTCTCAGCTAATGAGGGAAGGAAAAGGAGAAACTTTTGGCTGTTTAGATTCTAGTTAAAGTAGCTGGAATCTGAGCAGCCACCCCATTATCTCAGCAGAGACTTTAATTAAACTGATTTGTTTCCCATGTTGTGGGCGCATGAAGGATCTAACTTACCAGCAGAGCTCAGGAGAGCATGCGAAGAAGACCAGATGGGCTCAGCACAGGAAGACAGAGGGCAGGAAGGCGACAGATGGATGGAGAAGCATTTCGCTCCAGGGGACAGTGCCACCCCCGCCCTTCCTGCCCAACCCTGTCACAGCCCACAAAGCTGTGGAGAAAGCACCTGGCTTGCCCTGATCTTTCCCTTTGTTCTTCGCGCCCCACATGGCCAGGTAGCCACTTTCAGGCTAGTAGCTGAAGTGGGCAGGTGGTGGTGGTGGCAGGGTCTTACCTCCAGCTATTGAAACTCTCAACCACTCTTGACATGGACAGAGGCAGCGATGAGGAGGAGAGGTGTGCATGTTAATATATCAATGGGTGGGAGGGCTTCGGCTTCATGTCTCCAGCCTGACCTGTACCGTCTGGGCCCAGTCACCTTCACTGGTGATAGGTATTTGCAAATGGAAATAATATGAGTGCTAGGAGTCAGAAATGACTTCCAGTTAGACTCCTTTTCCAGCTGCAATGTATCATATGCCATGAGAGCTGGAGAGGAATTGGGCCCCAGACACAGACGTAGACACAGGGTCACAGGTGTTACTGGAACAAATCTTTTTTTCTACTAGCTCCCCTCTAAGAGTGTAGGCATAAGAGCACTGTGAGTTTTTTGCCCAAAAGTTTTGAAAATTCTGTATATAAAATCACTGTGAGTGATGAGACATGGGAGCTGAAAAAATTAACAGTGACTGTTCCCAGCAGCTTGTGGTTGCTGAATTTTGTCCGGGTTTGGCCTGAGCTTTCAGTGAGAGCTTAGGGTCTCCTCTTAGGTCCCATGGCCATTCTGAGAGCATCTACAGCTGCTGAGTGGGGAAGGGCAAGCCTTGAGGATGACACAGGCACCTCATCCCCTCCCAACCCCACCTGCTGAGTGGTTCTTTAAAGCAAGATGATGCAAAAAGCCACTACAGAATTCTACCACGTGGTCTCTCCTTCCCCTGTCATAGAAACAGTTCCTCAGACCTGGCATGTCTGAGATACCCAAGGTGATTAGGGATTTGAGCAAAAGAAGTCTAGTGAGAATAAATTACCCCGAGGCCCAGCTTTCATTATTATGGGCCAAGCAAAGGTCACGGACTACCCAGCCAGCCTTATGCCATTACCCAGCCACTGTGCAGTGGGAAACAACAATGACCAATTCTGTTAAAGACATTGACCTTAGCCCAGCAACCCAGAAAAAGGCAAACTACAGCTAGAGGTCTGTGGGTTAACACTATTATCACAATTGTGATGCCACTGTCTTACCACTAGAGGGCAGGGCAGCCCTTTCGTGGCAGAAGTTAAAGAGGCTGGGATGCTTTTATTAGACCTGTACAGAAGTGTACAGTTAAAGCTTGAATAATAGCAGTGGAGAGATTCTTTGTGCATTGGGATGCGTGGGGAAAGACAAGAAGAGAGCAAAGAATCTGCTGATGTGGATGTTCACTTCTAGCAACAGTAACAGTTTGAAATATGCAGTTGGATTTTGAGGACACTTGCTGGGGGGGAATGTTTGTTTTTGAATGCTCCTAACAGACTCTGTTTTTGAAAAATGCTTATCATTACGTGGATAATTTCTTGACCAGGGATTGATTTTCTAAAGGCAGTATGGGGAAAATGAATATATGCAAGGTGAACTATGAAAATTAATGTTTAGAGGTCAGTGTGTAAATAGCTTCCTAAAATACCATTTGTGTATCCATTACAATCTGGGGGACGGGAGGGGACTGTGCACGCCTTGTGCAGAAGGAAGACGTGGCCTTGAAGGACAGACTCTCTCCCCTGTTCTCACGCCCTGTAACCACACATAAGCTAGTTAGTCTTGGCAGTAGATGGGATTTACCACTCACTCTGAGGAGGAGCAGAAGCTCCAGTAAAAGTAAATTAGCAAAGCAGAAGTAGTACTCTTTCATCCTTGGAGATGGTTTGGAATTTTAGGTAGAATAAGGACATACTTGAAATTACGGTGATTCTTTAGTGCCCAGTAACATAAGACAGTGTTATTATTAGAAAGAGTCATTCTTATAAGCTAACAGAGCAAGTCTGTGCCTATTAGATATTAGCAGTGAAGTTCCTTCACTTTTGGATGGATTTATTAGGTGTAAAAAATAATTATCAATGAGGCAAACTCTGCTCCCCGCTGTCCTCCCAAGTGGGTCTGGTTGTTACAAAGTTCTGCCCAGCCCAGCAGGAAAGCCAGATGGGGCCAGTGTATCTGTTGAGAAACCACTGACTGCATTCTTGACTGAGGGGTAGTCCAGGCGTTTCTGGGGAAGGTCTTTAGCTGAGCTTTCCCGGGGAGGGACGGGAGGGGCCGGGGGAGGGCCGGGCGGCGGGTCACGCAGCCCAGCACTGCCTGTGCTTCCCTGTAGTCGTGGCCTTTCATTCCACGTGGTCTTAAGTCCCAGCTCCTCTCCTGTGGTTTGTGTCAAACGTGCTTTATCTGATTGAATCCAAACATCCCAAGATGTCACATGCGGATTTCTCGTGGGGATGAATATGTATATGTTTGCGGTCCTGTTGTGAGAAGTTAAATGTGCGAGCTGAAAAGAGCTAGGGGCAGGGAATAATAAAAAAGGAGAACCTTTCTGTTTCCTGCAGTGGGAACTAACTGTGTTGTCTTAATAGCCTTTTGTACAAATATCTACCAACCAGATAACTTTCCCATCCAGTGCTTGCCCTTGGAACTGTCTCTAAATACATCAAACATACAATAAAAAAGTACTGAGATTAATGTCCCTTGGCCTCTTCTATCTTGTGTTTCATTAATAAATGCGAGCATTGGCCATAACATAGAAAATGTATGAAAGGGGATATATTTTATGACTGGAATCTTTGGAAAACCCAATCAGTTAAGCGTTTTCTTCATTTATCCATTGTGTGGATAAATTCACTCTTTAAAATAAACACAAAACTATGACATACTACCTCACACCCGTCAGGGTGGTTATCAAGAAAACAGAAAATTGCTTTTGGTAAGGATGTGGTGAAATTGTAACCCTCTGCACTGTTGATGGGGACATAAAATGGTAGAGCTGATATGGAAAACAATATGGAGGTTTCTCAAAAAATTAAAAAGAATTCAGCCATATAAGCCAACAATTTTATTTTTGAGTATATACTCAAAAGAATTGAAGGTGGACTATCTCAAAGAGACTTTTTTTATTCCCATATTCATACTAGCATTAGTCATAATAACCAGAAGGTGGAAGCAAGCCAAGTATCCATCAGTGAATGAATAAATGATACGTATAGCCAAGCAATGGGATATTCAGCCTTATAAAGGAAGGAAACTCTTGACACATGCTACAACATAGATGGGCCTCGAGGACATTATGCTAAATGAAATAAACCACTCTCAAAAAAAGTCAAATATTATTTGATTCCAGTTTTATGAATTACCAAGAGTAGTCAATCTCATAGAGCCTGAAAGTAGAATGGTGGTTGCCAGGTGCTGGAGGGCTGGGAAGGGAAATGGGGAGTCTTTGTTTAAGGGGTATTAAGTTTTGCAAGATGATAAAAGAGTTCTGGAGACTGGTCACACAACACAGTGAATTTATTTAACACAACTGAACTGTACACTTAAAAATTACTAAAATGGTAAATTTTATGTTAATGGGTATTTTACCAAATTAAAAAAATCATCAATGGCTGGTGCCATCTATGCCAAGCATCTTTATTTTAAAGCCGTATAAACTCCATTAGGGGAAAGGATGCCACTTAAGAAAGAAACCAGCTCTTCCCACTCTTGTGACCTAGAAATGCCAGGTTACTTCGATGATTCTGTCTCCATGTGACAGGGAAATGCAACCGAATGTCTTGTTCTTGAAAATAGGACTTAGTCACTGGCAACCAATGACCTATGTCAAGGTCAGAGTAAATGACGACCCCGTTTATATGACAAGGAACTGCTGACTCTATTTTTATTCTCAGCTCTTTTTCCATCAACATAAACTCCTGCAAAGTTCCAGGGTAACAGAGTGTGTATTAGTTTGCTAGGGCTGCCATAATAAAGGACCGCAAACTGGGTGGCTATTTATTATCTCACAGTCTGGAGGCTAGAAGTCCAAGATCAAGATGTTGGCAGAGTTGGTTCCTTCTGAGGGTTGTGAGGGAGAACCTGTCCACTCTTCTTCCCTACCTTCTGGTGGTTTGCTGGCAATCTTCAGCATTTCTTGACTTGTAGAAGCATCACCCTAATCTCTGACTTCATACAGCATCCTTACTGTGTATATGTCTGTGTCCAAATTTCTGCTTTTTTTTTTTTAAGGCTTGCAGAATTTTAATGTTTCATGATTGTTAACAGAGAAGTCTCAAGGAAAAAATATGGAACGCTTCACGAATTTGCGTGTCATCCTTGCGCAGGGGCCATGCTAATCTTCTCTGTATCGTTCCAATTTTAGTATATGTGCTGCCGAAGCGAGCACCAAATTTCTCCTTTTTATAAGGATATCAGTCATATTGTATTAAAGGTCCACCGTACTTCAGTAGGACCTCATCTGAACTTATATCTGCAACAACTCTATTCCTAAGTAAGGTTACCTTCTGAGGTATGGAGTTAGGAGTTGAACATGGGACGTTTTGGAGGATGCAGTTCAGTTTGTAAGAGGATTGTGAAGGATGTCAGGCCCCCGGGGGCATGGTCTGAGAACCTGTAACTTGCTTCTGGAGTCCACAGCCCTTCCCATTAAGTTGCTCCCCTTCCCCTTCTAGGCACCACCTCTTCTACCCGGACTCCATGGTTGCCTGGAACTATGGCCACTTCATCTACCTCCACAGGCAATGGTTAAAGTTCATCATCCATTTTGTCAGTTATCTTGGGCCATTGCTTTTCTTCTCCACTCAGATGGGCCCTTTTGGTCATGTGAGCTTATCTGTGCCTCTACTAATAAAGACAGCAGATAAAACAAGTCAGGTCCTTAACTAATTCAGATGCAAAGTGTGTAGCAGCTAACTTTGAAATTAGTTTCTAGATGAGATTTATTTCAGGAGCATCTATGAACTGTAATTACTGCTGTCTCCTTGTTATCCAGCAACAGAGCTAGGGATCTGAGCAGCTCAGTGAACATCTGAATGGAATGCCTGAGACACAGCCAGCGAGAGCTGAGTGTGAGACTGAAAGTGTAATAGGCAAACTGCTTGTACCCTGCAGTGTGTGTGTTTGTGTGTGTGTGTGTGTCTGTGCAAACTGATACCTGAGTCTGTTGTGACCTGAGGGTTAAAGGCTTGCCCAGGTGTTACGTTACTCCATCTTCACCGCTATACACTTAAGGACATGTTTATGCCCCTATATTACAGATGAGGAAACTGAGGCATAGACTGGTTAAGCTTGTTACTTCCTAAACTTGTAAGATGCAGAATCAAGATTCAGATCCATGTTTTCCCTGAAGCCAACATACCTATCAGGTAAACCTTATTTCCCCTGTACCAGGTTCCAAAGAGGGCACCTGAAGACACTATAATGGGGACGGCGAAGAGACTGCTCCACACAGATTTTTTAAGGCATTTGCTAAGCTGAGGGGGTGGTGCTAAGTACACTTCAAGTTGAAAGCTGCTCCATTTCAACACAAGTTAGCAGAATTTGTAAGCATGTTTGATATTAATAGAAGTGAATAAGTATCGTGTTATCTATTTGTTACAAAATACATTTGAATTTGTCCCTTGCTTGGTTTTCTCAAATACCTATTTAATTAGCTACAAAAGTCAGGAAGACATTCTGTAGTTTAGTTTAGCTGTAGTTTAGCTCCAAAGAGAAAGGCCCCATTTCTAACACAGAATGTTACAGCAAGTGCTGGGTCCTGTGTCAGTATCCCGTCTGAGCCCTTCTAATCCTTAAAGATGGTTGGCTTAGATTGGTGCTGGCGACCTTCAACTGGCTTTAACAGGTAAACAACTGGAAGCATTCCCATTTATTAAAGTTTATTAATAAAAGAAATGAATCTGCAGAGGGAAGATCAGTAAATATAAAATACATGGGAAACACTGGGAGGGTCACAGACCACAGCGCTGGGGAGATTACTCGAGGATGGGAGGGGCACTCTGTTTGAGTTTGTGGTCCAGAGGTGAAGTATTTGTCCTGCCGCAAGAGTTCAGAGGGCAGGAATTCAGTGCTGGGTCTGGAGGAGAGATGTGATGCTAGATTCCTGAGATTTTTCCCTAATTGCAATTTTTGGTTTCTGCACGTTTCTTCCCTCTGACCTTGAATAGTTTTATTTTGAATTTCTATCCCAGTGGTACAGAACATCAGTTTGTAAACACCTCATCGGGGCAGGCAGTCTACTCCGAAGGTGGAATGGTTTTTGTCTAGAGCCTTCTTAATCATGATTGTTAAAGAACCCTTGTAATTATTTTGTACAACTGGGAGAGAGGTGGAGTGGATAGTGTTATATTAAAAAACGTTCTGACCTTTTGGAAACCTTGCAGAACCAATAAGACAGATCAGCTATACGTACAGCTGATGACCTGCAAAAGCTTCTTTTTCATTGATTTAGCTATTACAGTTTGGCGAGATTTATTCCCCAGGGAAGGGAACTTGACATTGCTCAGTGGCTTCTGTTTGGAATGAGAAAGTACGCAATGATGGTGGACACCACATCAGGGTCAGTCTCCATTCCAGACAGGAGGTGGTGGATGCGGTCACATGTTTGCCAAAACCCTACTAACGGTCTGCCTTCTGCGCATGGCATGTTCTAGGCATTACATCCTCAAGGTGTGAGGGCATGAGTGGGCTGTTTCAAAGGAAACATTTTTCACTGTTTTCTTTCCACCTCTCCTGGATTTCCTTTAATCTGCAGCTATTTTGAGCACAGATGAGGGGTCAGTTTGCTTCTATTTTTCTCTCCTTCCTCAGTCACAGCTTTCTCTCCAAGGATGAGGTCAGGCAGCAAGCAAAAACACTTTCATTCCCTTGCCAGCCCCAGAAAAGGGGCATGAGAGGAGCGGCCACAGGTCACAGCCAGTCCTGACCCATCCATATTCAGGGCTAGCTGAACTCATACACTTCTCCCCTCTAGAGGGGTGCCACCACAGGGACTGGGGGACTCTCAGACCAGCTCAGAAGGGCGCTAAGGTTTGCCTGATGGGTGGATCCAGGCTCCCTAAGGGTGGGCGGGGGACACTTGATATTTGAGGCAGGTATTTCAGAATATGTTTTAGTCTATACTTTTTCATGTCATGCTTTCCATGATAAACCCTGCACTCAGGGGAGGAAAAAGAAAAGCTCTCTGAGACAGAATTAATGATGACTTATGCAGGTTTCTAATTTGCAGGGAATATACTGAAATCTCCTTCAGCTCACCTCACCCTGGCTGCCAGGATGAGGGCTCAGAGGGACAGGAAGGACCATTGCAGAAACATGCGCATGAGGGGCAGTGTAAACAGTAAGAGCGTTGGCTACTTGCAGGACTGTTCAGTTACACAAGGGGCCCTGTGGTCAGCCTTGGAGGGACTGAGGCCACTCTTGCTTTTGATCTGTGTTATATTTACATGAGGCAGCAAAAGAATCTTTGTACTGCAGGACGGGAGCGGGACGTGGCGTCTCGTCCACCGGGGGCCGTGTGGCGGCATCTGTGTGAGGGACACGCTACTCTCAGGGAGCCACGTCGTTCATAAGGCATTACCTGGTTTGATTTTGCAGTTTGTGTGATGAGACTAGAAAAATCATGCCAATAAGAAGCCATTGTGGATACTATGACTTTGGGAAGCTAAGGAATCTTCTAAAAACTGTTCCGAGCCTAGGGAGGGCCAGCCTGCAGACATATTTACAGTCATGGAATGGACACTATGCGGTGGGACAAGGCTGTCACTTGTGCCAAGGCGCACTTTAAGAAATGCAGAAATAATGTCTGTGTGTTTTAAATTATTCAAATAATAGTCAACTATAATACTGATTTAAAGCCTGTGCAAAACACGTATTTACAATAAATAAACGCTCCATTCAGAGCCCGTGTGTCAGCTGAACTACGACTTGAGAGTGGTGAGGCCTGAGGTCCTCCTGGGGATGCCCACCCTGCCATGTGGACCTCCAGATGGCCCACGGGACGCTGGCTCCATCCGTCTTCTCACCGGAGCGTCTTAAGGGCTAACTGTGGAAACACAACAGTGTTATCAGGTGGGGTCAAAGGTCAACAAACCATCCCCAGGGCTGGCTATCCCTCATGCCTGCAAAGTTGCCAGGGTCTGATGGTTCCATCATGTGCAAGGTGCTGATCTTCACCCAGCGGGTCATGGGTGGAGAAGGAATGAAAGTGTAGCTTGTTTCAGGTGGGGACCGAATGTCATAAAAAATGTTTTAGGGACCAAGTACCAGCAGACCACTTGATGGCAAGCTCAAGAAAAGCTAAGAACTTGGTCATGATCTCAAGACAAGGCAATGAAAGAGGGAAAGGACCCTGGGCTTTCAGATTTCCAGTTTAGGGCTCCCAGCCTTGCATGGATCACTTGGGCTCTGGCCCCTAAAAGAAGAGCACTCCCGGGGCACTGTTCACCATGTCTGAAACCCCGTGATTTCTCTGGTCAATTTCTTTTTGCCTCACTGAAGTGAAAATGAATTAACATGGTGTCCACCTAGACATAAAGATCTTCTGGACTATGGGATGCCCAAGATAGACTACAGTCCATCCTTGACTAGACTTTATGGGCTCAGGGGATTCAGATGTGTGCCTGCCATGAGGTTAGGGACTGGACAGTATGGAATGTTCCATCATGCTTATAACATCTGAAGGTGAGGGTGACTCCTGTCCTGGCAATTCTGACATGCCAGGGAAAGAGGCAGTGAGGTCCAGTGGAAGGAGCACTGGACAAGGAGTCAGAGGTCTGTAAGTGTGACCTCAGGTGAGTTCCTTAACCCCTCAGAGCTCGGTTTTCTCATACGGAAAAAAGGCATTAAAGATAAATCTCTCCAGCTTATATCACAGAGTTGCTAAAAAGGATCCAATGAAATAGCATATGTAAGTTCTCTAAACTATAAAAAGTTGTATAATGTAGGGACTATTATTTTTGTTATTACCATATTTTTCTGATCACAGGAGTAATGCATTTATTGTAGAAAATTCAGAAATTGCATAAATGCACTAATAAGTCAAAATCAGTCATAAGCTGGCAGAGTGAATGCCTGTTAACAACTTTGTGTATATTCTTCCTATCTTTTTTCTTCCTCTGTATATATCCTTCTTCTCTGAACCACAATCATACACCCACCCAGTTTTAAACCTACAATCATCCGAGAATGTTTATTGCAGTTCTCAAAATTGGATCAGCCGTGGTTAGAAGGGGAGGAGGGAGCTTGTCCCCCTTCAGGAACCTTCACCTCCCCCAGCTTCCAGGAACCTAGTTCATTCCTTCTCACATCCTTTTCCTTCAGGGTCCAACCTAACCTGTGGGTCCTGCCCCTTTGCCACATAGTTTTGAAACTGGAGGCCAGGAGGGGAGAGGATCCCTGTTTTCAAAGAAGCAAAGGGCCTTTAAAGATGAGACCCTGTCCTGTGCCCTGAGAAATGTCGTCTCCGCCCAGGTCAGAAAACACACAGTGTTCAAGCTGCCTTGTGCAAGCATGAGGGTGTTTCTTCAAAGCCTGTCTCACACGGGCAGCTCTCTGCTTCCCCCTCCCCCCAGCCTTCCCCTAGCCACCAGCACTTGAATTTCGAGGCTGAATTGGTCAAGTTAAATGACAATGTTGATGGTGGAAACCCGTGCCCCCACCCCCCTGGGGGGGCTGGTAAGAAACCAGGTACTCTGTAGATGACAGAGAATACTGAATTATGTTTTATGCATGTTACAGAGTTTTTCTCTCAGGCTTCTCAGACCAGGGTAATGAGGGAAGAATGATGGCAGTGAACGGGGTGATGGTTGCAGAGGGACTCCCAGGGGTCCCACGTGCCAAAGCAGCTACTGATGATTCCAGAGAAGCCCTCTTTCACTCAAGTTTTGAAATTATGAGCATTTCACCCCAGCTGGAAACACAGGTGCCCGTGTGGCTTCTTCCCCCAGGTAAAACATGAAGCTATTCATGTGAAGGGGAAAGCAAACCTCAGCACTGTGTGCTTCTTGAGGAGGCTTCCCAGTTTTACACTCAGGGACCGGAGAGTTCTGTTACCTGAGCGTTTCTGCCTTTGATGTCATCAGAGCTCTGCCCGCCCGCCTCGGCGTGGAGCCAGGGACCAGGTGTGCGGCCTGAAAGACACAGGAACCATCTCACCATCTGTTGGCTGCGGGCCGGCTGTGCGCTTCACAGTCTGGCTGTGCCGGCACCCAGGGCAGAGGCGCAAGAACCCAGGGTAACCTGAGCCTGTCAACCCGAACCCCCCGGGCTCCTGGCCTAGATTGTGTTTCCACCCACTGCTTCTCTGTCACAGACCGTGGATACAGAGGCATCATGTCCACTGTGCTGGAAGGGGAAGTTATGAAGGGCTCTCATCTAAATGCAGGTGAGCCTCTCAGCTTTGAACTCCCCACCTGCTACAGACTCACTCGTGCGTCCTGACCCCAAATGAGCTGGCGCTGTTCTAGCGATGTTTAAAAAAGGCGTAAAAAGTGTGTGCTGACACAGCTCAGGCCCTGCCTGTGAGGATCCAACTCATTCTCTAAAACATGCTATGGTTTAAATATTATACAAGTTATATATATATGAACATATATTCTCATAATTAAGAATTTGAATTTGAATTTGCCCTTCTCTCTAATCCCAATTATTTATCCCAGAGTCACCTCTGCTAAAAGTTTGGCATTTATCCCTCTAGCTTGGTTTTACTTTTTGGCATTTACTTACACAGATATGTATGTATATAGGCAGATATGTGGTTTGGTTGATCTAGCCAAGTTTTAAATCCATATTCCCAGGAACTCCAGAACTTTTTCTATGAGCCAGGTAATCCGAATGGTGTCCCTGTGTCTCTTTCTCTGCTGCATTTGGTACAAGACTTTCCTGTCTACTTCTATCACAGTCTAGGAATTAAATATCCATGTCCCAAAGCCCTTAAAACAATTTATGGTGCTGTGCAACTTACAAATTAACATGAAAAGCAGAAATACCCATCACAGATTATTTATGATAGTAAAAAAACCGATAATAACTTGTACTCAAAAATAGTGTTTAGGAAATCTAGGGTTTGTTATCATATGATGGAGCACCAAAGAGCCATCTGAGTGTCTACAAAGGCTCAAATAATTTGGGTTGATGTTTGAAATGTAGGAGAAAAAAGCAGGCTAGAAATTGTATAAATAGCAACACCTCAACTATTTAAAGGGCTTCCCTGATAGCTCAGTTGGGAAAGAATATACTTGCAATTCAGGAGACCCTGGTTCAATCCCTGGGTTGGGAAGATCCCCTGGAGAAGGGAAATTCTACCCACTCCAGTATTCTGGCCTGGAGAATTCCATGGACTTTTCCATGGAGTTGCAAAGAATCAGACACAGCTGAGTGACTTTCACTTTCTTTCAACTATTTAAAAATCCATTAAAAAATGTAAATAATATACTGAATTGATTCCTTTTGGATTTATTGCTCTTTAAAAATCTCTTAAAAACACTTTTCAAGTTTTCTACAAAATGAACATATAAGTCATCTTAAGAATCTGCTATGGTACAATATAGTTTTTTAAATGAACTACCACATAGAAGGGTCTCTACAACTTAGAAAACATTAATCCAATGGGCCCTGTAATTTTCATTACAATACTTTTAAAATGAACGAATGCATCTGTTCTAGGAAAAAGATTTTTTGGGGGCAAATGGCATAGGAAGCACTAGATTTTTAGCCAAATATGCATGGTCAGTTGCTGCAGTCGTGTCCAGCTGTTTGGGAACCCATGGACCAGGCTCTTCTGTCCATGGGAATTTTCCTAGCAAGAATACTGGAGTGGTGTATACTCCTCCAGGGTATCCTCTCGACACAGGGATTGAACACGTGTCTCCTGTGTCTCCTGTATTGCAGGCAGATTCTTTACTGCTGAGCCTGCAGGGAAGCCCCTGTAAAAAGTAGAGACACTGATGTGCTGAATTCCATGCAGCAGTATGACCCTGAAACTACTGTTCTTAGACTTACTCCAGTCTGCCACAGAAAAGCCTTCCTTTAGACAAAGGCTTCTTAACTTGGCTCTACTGACATTTGGAGCTGGATTTTTCCTTGTTTGGGGGGTGTTGGCTCTACTGACATCTGGAGCTGGATAATTCTTTGTTTGGGGGCGCTGCCTGTAGGTTGCAGGTGATCTCACAGCCTTCTTAGTCGCTACCCACTAGACACCAACAGTACATCCTCCACACCCCAGAGACCATTTGTGTTAACAAAAAAATGTCTCCAGACTGTGCCAAATGTCCCCTGGGAGGCAAAATCCCCTCTTCAAGAACAACTGGGCAACGAAACAAGCTTCTCCATAGGTAAACAGTGCCCACTAGTTTTTATAAATATGATGGGAAACAACAGCAGAGCTAAAGGATAACCAATTTCTTCATAAAACAGAAAAGAAAACTCTACATCTTGTAAAAGAAATTTCACTGTTGCTAGAAAAGGGTGGCTGAGAGTTGCCAGGGTTACCTAAGATTTCTTTTAATTCAAATATCTCCTTGGGGGGGGGTGGCATCTCAAATATTTCCTTATGAGATGCCACTAGGATCTCTTAGAATTCAACAAACGGAGCCCTTCTGCTTGAAATAGTCCTTCACATGGGCTGTTTTCCTACAGGAGAGCATTTCAGATTCACTAAACTACTGGTTTTCAAACTTTTGGTACCACAATGTGCAGTAAGAAAGACTTTTCCCATTTCTATCCAATCACATGTGTCTGCTGCACACAGAACAGCCTGAGTGACCATTGTTGCTGCCTCCTGGTAACCAGATGACACCTGTTTTTCCCGTTATTAACACGGCTATGTGTCCGGAGCTAGTGGCTACAGAGCAGCCGACTGTCAAAGACTTCTCTGAACAGTGGGGCTTAAACAAGAAAGTCTACTCCTGGGTGGAAGGAACAGCGGCCTGAGGGCCACGCTGGCTTCCAACTTTATTTTTTGTCATTTGTAAATCAGGCCAGCCTTATACCTTTCCCCAGACACAGAGATATTTTCATGTGTTAAAAAAAAATTGTTCTGTAGCCAACCAACAAGAGGCTGAATACTGCAGGGCTTGGAAATTATCCAGAAAGGATTTACAAACTTGGCTGGCCATCAAAGCTGGGTCTCTTGGAGGGTCTCCCAGAACGCCTCCCAGTCTTGGAGTGCAATTCCAGGGGCTGGGTGAGGAGAAAACAGACTCCTTGGAGAGGCACATCTAACTGTCAGCTCTGGGCCAACTCGATCTCTCTGAGGTAGGGTCCACATGGCATCAGGTGGAAGGTAGCAGTTATGGCGCAGAGAATCACACTGTGTATCTGAAACAAATGCGACGCTGCATGTACTGGCCTCATGTGCAGAGAAGGAATACTGACTGGACCATGACACGAGAGGCAGATGGTTACATGCAATCAAAAGCACAACTCTTTGTGACTGGAAACATTCCACTGGCAACGCTAACCAGCTCTTTGCAACTCCATGGACTGTAGCCCGCTAGGCTCCTCTGTCCATGGGATTCTCCGGGCAAGAGTACTAGAGTGGGATCTCCAGGGGATCTTCCTGACTGAACGTGGGTCTTCTGTACTGCGGGCAGATTCTTTACTGGCTGAGCCACCGGGGAAGCCTATCTGTATGACACAGGTGTTAAATGGAATGGTAGTTTCTGTTTCCCTTCCTATCTCAAAGCAGCTCAACAAATATGAAGCGAGATGCAAAATAGAAGAGGATGCTCTTTCTAGATGATTGCAGTGCAGCCCTGTGGGGATGAATACATGGGCTGGGCCAGAGATAGGGTGCCCTCAGCTGTATTCCCCAGGGGCCTGTATGTTCTGTGACCTGTATGTTGTATGATTACTTACAGGAGGGTTAGCCAAACTACCCTGGGTGTAGTTGTTTTTCTATCTTTTAAAACCAAGAAAAAGATGCTGTTAAAAATATATTTATCCAGAAAGATGCTGGTTTGAACTCTAAAAAGCAACGTGGAGTCATCATTTTCCCTTTTGAATACAGAGCCACTGAGTCTGTAGCTTCCTTTCTAGCGTCAGGTGCATCCTTTCCTCTCAAGTGAGCCGAGGGCACATGCGGGGGGTTCTCCCGAGGCCTCGGCATGGAGACCCCTCGCCTGAGAAGGCGCGGAACCCACCCTCGGTCTGGCTCTATGCTGTTCCGGGATGTCAGGCAGCCCGCCCGGGTGAAGAAGCAGCCTCAGGCTCTCCTCGCTGATGTGGAACGAAGAGCCACAGCTTGAGCCCTGGCGTTGCCACCAGCTGTGGCCATGAGCCAGCCACCCTACTTCTGCTTGGGGTTCCTACTGCTCGCCTGGAAGGAACTGGGCCGGAAAACTTCACAAGGCTTCCCCTGCTCTAAGGCTGGAAGCCTCTCATAGCCTCTGACTAAAGGACATGACGCATTTCACTGGACATGATAATTCTAGTATCTGCCAGAGCTAAGCCTGAGAAACTGAACATCTGGCATCTCCTCTCCTCCCTGGCTGTCTCTGCCACGGATGACGTTGGTCTGAGGGACCCACCATCCCATCTAGAGAACTTACAGAGTCACCCTACACACCATAGGGCCTCACTTCCCTCCTCAGGCACTCAGCCCAGGGGTGGGCTTAATCATCGACACTCGCCCCATAATTTGGAATTTTAAAATTACTTTTAATGATTTTTAAAAGTAATGTATATTTATTTTAGAACACTTGGACAAAATAGTGAAGCATGAGGAAAATAAAAATCACCCAACATTCCGGGACTAAGGGATAACCAGTCCTAACACTGTAGTGGATGTATTTCTAGCTTCTTCTCTTTTCTTTCTTTGTTCCACTTCTCTCTCTCCACATAAGTTCATGAAACAATTTCTTTTTAAAATTAATTTAGGTTTTCTTAAAAGTTTTTGTTTTAATGTGGACTGTTTTAAAGCCTTCATTGAATTTGTGACAGTACTGCTCTGTTGTTTATATTCTGTTTGTTTGTTTTTTTTTTTTTTTTTTTTTGGTGTGAGGCCTGTGGGATCTTAGCTCACTGACCAGGGATCAAACCTGCGCTCCCTGCATTGGAAGGTGAATTCTTAACCACTGGATCACCAGGGAAACACCTAGGTTTTACTTAATGGAATTTTAGTATACTAGGTTGTTTTGTTTTTCTTCTTAAGGTTGCATTGACATTTTCCCATGTCACTAAATATTCAATAGCACTACTATAATAGATGCAGAACATTCTACCCGGTGGCTCTGCCCTAATTTATTTCACCTCGTTGCTGGAAATTCGTGTTGTTTTCAAATTTCTTCTGTAAATGGATTAGCAATATATTAAAATATATGTGTGTGGATTTTTAATTGATTAATTCAACAAGTATTTCTCAAGTGTGAGTGCCTGGCCCTCGTGGCTCAGTGGTAAAGAACTCCCCCGCCAATGCAAGAGATGTGGGTTCGATCCCTGGGTCAGGAAGATCCCCTGGAGAAGGAAATGTTAACCCACTCCAATATTATTGCCTGGAAAATCCCATGGACAAAGAAGCCTGGTGGGCTACAGTCCATGGGGTTGCAAAGAGTCAGACAAGACTTACCGACTAAACAAAAACAAGTGCCTGCCCCCATGCTGGGAGCTGACAATAGAGCAGTGAAGAAAAATCGATATTCTCCTAGCCCTCCAGAGCCTTACATTGTACTTGGGAGACAGACAGGAGACAAGTAAATATATAACATGTCAGGAGGTGATGCATGCTTCAAAGAGATGATAAAGGCAGCATAAAGAGAATGACAGGAAGGGCTGCTATTTTATCTGCAGTGATCACCAGGGAAGACCACATGAAGGAATGTGGTCACCAGTAATAATCAGGCATGGCTAAGACAAACACACTAGGCCAGAGGTCCTTACTACCTAACCGCCCTCCGTAAAAGCTGAAAGAAATACCTTGGCACAGGCATTGTCTTCTGATTCTCTTAGTATTGGGACATCTAATTCTTTGACTTTATGGTGTGAACCACATTGAGCTGTCAGTTACTAAGTGTCCGGTGGAGAAGTTTCTCTGCTAATGGATATAATGGTAGCCAGTTTTGCTATATAAAGTAAATGTATTTTAGAAAATGAGTTGGGCCACAATGAGATACAACTTCATACCCATAAAGATGGCTACAAACAAAACAAAATACCAAGACCAGAAAATAACAAGTGTGGGTGACGATGTGGAGAAACTGAAACTTTGTGTATGCTAATAGGAACATAAAAGGGAAAACAGTATGATAGTTCCTCAAAAAATTAAAAATAGAATTACCACATCATCCAATTCCATTTCTGAGTATATACGCCAAAGAACTGAAAGCAAGGTTTCAAAGAATTATTGGTACACTTGTGTACATAGCAGCATTGTTCACAACAGCCAAAAGATGAAAGTAACCCAAGTGTCTATTGATAGACAAACAGATAAACAAAATGTGATAAATACATACAATGCAATTCAGTCTGAAAAAGGAAGGAAATTGTGACATGTTACAGCAGGGATGAACCTTGAGGACATTATGCTAAATGAAATAAGCCACTCTCAAAAAGTCAAATATAGCATGATTCTACTTATATGAGGTACCAAAAGTAGTCAAACTCATAGAACCAGAGAACCAGAAAGTACAACAGTGGTTGCCAAGGGCCTAGGGGAGGGGAGAGTGGGGAATTGTTTAATGGGTATAGAGTTTCAGTTTTGCAAGATGAAAAGAGCTCTGGAAATTGGTTGTACAACAGTGTAAATACATTTCACACTACTGGACTGTATACAAAAAAATGGTTAGGATGGTAGATTTCATGTTATCTATTTTTTAAACCACAATTAAACATAAAGAAAAAAGGAGTTGGGATGCAGTCAGTCAGCCACTTTCCCAGGGAACTGACCATGATGAGGACAATCCAGCTGGGAACACCAGAGTGAAATTTTATATTTCAGTGTCTGTCTGTCCTCTCTTCCTTTACCAACACGTGACTCTTTCAAGGATAGGTCAAGGGGATCATTTACCTAAATCTCTCCAGTGCTAAGGGCCTTAATAAGTATCTGTCCATACAATGATGACTTCACCCTTACTATCTTCATTAAAGTTAATGAATATTTGTGAGCTATGCATTTTTCCAAAGATTCCTAGTGATAGAGTTTTGCACATTCTTTTTATTGTGGTAAAATACACATAATATAAAATTTTCCATTAACAACATTAACAGTCACTCCCCATTCTCCATACCCTCCTGCCCTTGGCAACTGCTGAATCCACTTTCTGTGTCTTTGGATTTGTCTATTTTAGATATTTTGTACCAGTGGAATCCCACAATATGTGACCTTTATGTCTGCTTCTTTCACTTAGCATAATGTTATCAGGGTTCATCCATGTTGTAGGGCATGTATCACTGCTTCATTCCTTCCTACTGTCCAATAATATTTCACGGCATGGCTCCACCACATTTGTGTTATCTATTTACCATTTGATGGGCATTCAGGTACTTTTCACCTTTTGGCTATTGTGAATAGTTATGAATATGTCAGATATCTTGTTTGAACACCTGCTTTCAATTCTTTGGAGTGGAATTGCTAGGTCATATGGTAATTCTGTTTAGTGGATTGAGGAACCTAATGCATTCTAAAAAACATTTTAAAAAACTGGAAAAAGTCATCTACTAAAGAAAGAAACGGCTGATACTTGGAGAGTGGAGACATGGAAGACAGCCCTGAAAGCACTAAGCCTGAGGGTGTTTGCGTGCTGTGCGTCAGAAGGACAGAGAGAAAGCAGGCAAGCAGGCGGAGACAGAACTCCAGATATGTCACAGAAGAGCAGGGAAATAGCCTCATCTGATGGAACCAAAGTCATCTCCCAGACCACGAAGACCTCTGATCTGGGGTTACAGGTCAGTGGCAGAAATACAAGAGGAAAACTGTAACGAGAAATGTAATCAGATAAGCATGAACTGTACCAGGCTCACACTCACATAATTAACAAGGTTCTCTTTGCGGCTCCCAGGAATGGCAGGGACATGCTCGTTTAATTGTGTTAGGAGGCTCCTGCAGTATTTCATGCCCACCAATGCCACATCAATCCCAAAGCATATCTTCTTTCTGAAATGGCAAATGCCCTTTCTGGTCCGTAAGATGTCCATTCATGAGTAGGTTGGGTTTATATTTGAACTACTACTACTTCTTGATCACCAGGAGATTATTCTGGTGTGGGCACTGATTTAACATTTCTCTGAAAGGAGAGGATCACAGCACAGACCACCACCTATCTACCCTGGTGAGCTGTGTGGGGTAAAGCTTTTCTTCTATTCTCAGGGATAAGACTAGCTACCATGGGCTCCAAATGTAGCCAACTTGGATTAGAATTCACTAGAGTCTGAAGGTTCCTGAGAAAGGCTATGTAACAGAAAGATTTTTAAAACTCTTCTTTGCAGTGATTTAGGGTAGAGATTAGCAAAATCCAGCCAGCAGACCAAATGCAGCCAGTGCCTGCCTTCCCAAATAAAGTTTTACTGGCAGACAGCAATGCCCATTTCTTTTTGTGTTGTCTATGGCTGCTTTCATGTCAAAACATCAGAGTTGAATTGTTGTGATAGAGACCAGATGGTCAGCAGAACCTCAGACATGTCCTCTCTGGCCCTTTAAAGACAATATTTGCTAATCCCTGGCTTAGGATAAGGCTCTGATGACCTGCAAAGCTAGTTCCCACTCCTGACCTTACCCCTCAGCCTCAGACCTGAGTACTCCCTGCTCAAACTGGCCCAGGTCACCTCTACCTTGCCGCCCTACAGGCACGTCCGCTTGCCCTGACTGATAACCTTGTCTCTGCCTGAAACCAGCTCCTTTCCTGCTCCTTCTTCTTGGTGCCACATCATCCACCCAGGCCCAGGTAGATACTCAGAGTTCCTTTGTATAGCCTGTGGCCCATTAGTGCACCCAAGCACCTTCTGGAGGGTCAAGCACCTTCTGGAGGGTCAGGGAAAACCAGGAGTCTTAGCGAGGTGGTACTTACTTCTGGGGATCTTGCTGGGGTAGATCTTCTGGCATGGTTTATACTCATCCGGAGGAGGAAAATCTTCCATGGAATGGAACGTGAATTTAGATTCAAAGTCATCTGCACACAAGGGAAATCGCAAAATCACTCTCATGACTATGATGATCCGAGTTTTAATAATTTCCAGGAACAAACAGCTTTGCCTGCTTAGTGCAAGGTTTTAATGGCAGGGCTATTTCCTTCTAAGACATCCATTCACGTCTTAACTTTTACTATTACTACTTATCTGGGACAAGGCGGCATCAGGACAAGTGAAGTCACAGACTCTCCCCATCATCCACCCAACTTCCTTCAACCAATGTCTTAAGGAAGCGTCCAAAGGGAGCAGAAGTGCCACAGGGCTATCCAGGGCCCAGAGCCAGAGGGGAACCTGGCAGCAACAAAGGCCAGCCAAGTCCCTGTGGCCTGTGGTCCTTCCTGTGCTCCTGAGGCGGACTCTAGGTGAGGTGGGAGGGCTGGACAGAACAAGAGTTCTCAGCCTGGCTGGTGGGGAGGAGCCCAGCCTGTGTCCAGCTGGGGACCAGGGCTTCCCAAAGCGAACGGGTTCTGCCATGAGCCCCTGATGGCAAAAGGAGAAGGGTCTTGTGGCTCTTTTATGAGTTGAGTCCCTGCTTTGTGATCTAGGTTTTGGGTGTGACAGTAGCTCAGCCCACAAAGGGGTCCAAAGATTTTTGGTCACACCTGACCCCAGATGACTTTCCTTCCTAGTTCCACAGCTTTACCTTAATTGTTCTTCTGCTGGTGGACCTTCCATCCATCCTCTCACCTTGTACAAATCAGTCTATCAGGCTTACGTCTGATTTCTCCATGGAGACAGGTGTGTGCATGTGCATGCGCACACACACACACACACACACACACACAACTTAAATGTTGGTTTTCTTCTCTCTCTGTAGTCTCAATCAGAAGGTTGGGGAGTAGATTCTGGAACCCTTCCCCCATAAAGCCTCAAAAGAAACTCTATTTAACACAACATGTAGGCTGTTCTTCACCCCACTCACCAATGATGTTCAAGTTTCCATTCCGCAGCTGACCTCCAGGCTGCTGGGTCGGGGTCCAGGCTGGGGTCTGCTGGCTCCTGCTGGAAAGCTCAGTGGTGGGTGACCTCGCAGGGGGTGCTGGGGGTGGGTTGAGTTTTCCCCCACCGGTTCCTGGCAGAGAAGATGATGGAGTATTCAGATACAAGACTTTCAGATAGAAGATGCTAGGATGGTAGATGCTATAACCTTCTGGGAGAGGTGAGGTATTGAGATCTTTGGGTGTAAGATGATACAATGATGAAAAGGCAGCCTCTTGAGCCAACCTTCTTGGGACTGAATCCCAGTCCTCCTGCTGGAGTAATAACACCACCTCTTTGTGCCTCAGTTTCCTCATCCATAAAATGGGAATAATAATATATATACACATTCTTGGGCTTCCCTGGTAGCTCAGATGGTAAAGAATCCACCTGCAATGTAGGAGACCCAGGTTCGATTCCTGGGTTGGGAAGATCTGCTGGAGAAAGGATAGGCTACCCACTCCAGTGTTCTTGGACTTCCTTGGTGGCTCAGCTGATAAAGAATCCACCTGCAATGTGGGAGACCTGGGTTCCATCCCTGGGTTGGGAAGATCCCCTGGTGAAGGGAAAGGCTACTCACTTCAGTATTCTGGCCTGGAGAATTCCATGGACTGTATTAAGCAAGTTGATTTAATTTAAGTGGCAGGTGGTAGGGGCTCAATGACTATTAGCTGCTATGATAGTATCAACCCTTGTCATCAGATGGTACAGCCCAAAGAAGTGAAGATACTGCACAATCCTATGCAAGGGAAGGACTCTCTATAGGTGAGACTCGGGGTGGGGCTGGATGAGCAGGCTGTCGGGGGCTTGCTCCTTCCCCTGCGTTTCTGCTTGCACTGATTCTCCTGCACTTTAGTCCTGTTTCTCCTTCCAGTGAATTTAAAACCTAGCTGGCCACCAGGGCCCAACTCAAATCCCATCTACTTCATCAATTCTTCCCTGATGATCTCCTTTGCCAAGACTTCTTCATATGACTCATTTGGCAGTTAATAACCTGCTGCCTTGGCATATCAACTTGAGTACTCGACTCTTCACTTTGCTCTTGAAGTGATGACAACTGCACCATTAGTATCTGTGTCAAGATGTTCACAAGTACAACCTCCTACTCTTCCCTGTGGTTGGCCTGAAGCAGAAATCACCCTCATGTTGTTCATGGAAAGCCAAGTCTCACGTCCAAAATCACAGTGGAAGAGGCCAGACAAGCACCCATTCCTGGAGTCAGATTTGCAACTCTGGGGCCTGTGCAGGCCCAGCGCGGAAGCTGGCCTCCCCACGGCCGTCAGCGCACCTCACCGCTCAGCTCCGCCCTCGGCCTTTCCCTTTCTCAGTCTCCCTCCTCTTCCTTGCTGGTCTTCCCTTCCTCTGTACCAGGATCCACTAGGATTTACTTGTTCCCACAAGGGGACTAAAGAGGATAAGGGGCTGTGGACCCCTCTTCTGTGTGAGGACCTGCCTCTCCACTTGGTCAGAGAGAAGGAAGTCAGGCTGCTGAGCCCCGAGCTACCCCTCTCCCCAGGCAAAGCACTCCAGGCGTACTTCTCACTTGGTGTGTAACAATCCATTGTAAAAGGTGTCACTGTCACTATTTCCATTTGTCAAATTAAAAAAAGCGAGGTTCAAGGACATTAAAAACAGAAGAGGGTGGGAAGGCAGGATTTGAACTCAGATCTCTCTGAATCTAAAGCACTGATTTTTTTTCACCCCATCCTAAACATTTAGGAATCATGAGCCTCAGAAGGGGCTCACTAATACTAATGCTGGACATTATGATCAGTCAGTTGAGAAGAGAATGATTAAAATCTTATCTCCTGTGATCAAAAGCCTTAAAAATATCCTTGCTTTTTGTACCAGGCACTCCCTTTCAGGGACTTATCCTTTTAAAAAAAAATTTTTAATATAGACTACAATTGCTATAAATGTATCTCCTGCAATATTATTTGTAATAAAAAATGGAATCAACTTAAATATCTAGAAATATGATACATATCAATTATATTAATATGCTTACAGATACATTTTAACGATTTCACAAATATCAAATTACATCAAAACTGCTTTTAATATTATATTAAATGAAAACAGAATAGAAAATAGTATATACAAAATCGTTTTAACCATGTAAATATGTAGGTATGTTAAGAAAAAAAAAGAAACACATCCAAATATGACAGTTTTTACTTCTGGGTGATGTTATGGGTGACTTCATTTTTTTCTATTTGCTCTACAATGAACTTGTATTATTTTTAATTCAAGGATATATATTTAAGAAACTTTCTGCATCAAGAGATGTTCTGCAGATTCAAAAATACAGAGAACAAACTGGTGGTTACTAGTAGGGAGGGGTGGGGGCAGGGCAAGATAGGGGAAGGGGATTAAGAGGTATACACTACAAGGTATAAAATAAATAAGACACAAGGATGTAATGTACAACTCAGGGAACATAGCCAATATCTTATAGTAACTTATAGTAATGAAGTAGTCTCTATAAATATATAGAATCACTATGCTGTATACCTGAAACTAATATAACATTGTAAATCAATTATACTTCAATTAATAAAAAGAATGTCTTCTCAAAAAAATTTTTTTTTCTGAAAAATCAAGGAATATGAGCCTGTGTGTATAATTGTGGATATATGTTGGCCTATGTGTGTGGATATGGGCTTTGATGAGCGTGTGCATATGAGTGTGTGTGTGTGTGTGTGTGTGTGTGTGTGTGTGTGTGTGTGTGGTGGAGGGTGCTTCCCCTATGGCTCAGCGGTAAAGAATCTGCCTGCAGTGCAGGAGCTGCAAGAGACATGAGTTCAATCCCTGGGTCGGGAAGATCCCCTGGAGGAGGGCATGGCAATCCACTCCAGTATTCTTGCCTAGAGAATTCCCATGGACAGAGGAGCCTGGTGGGCTATAGTCTACAGTGTTGCAAAGACTCAGAATGCATGCGTGTGTGTGTCTGTGTGTCTGTCTGTGTGTGTGTGTACGTGTAGTGTCCTTTCCATTTAGAAGCACACCAAAGGGGACTGAAGGCTAATCACTTCATGGAAATCATAGTCATGGAGCATGTATATTCAATCCAGATCATCTCTGCTGGAAACATGAAGGGATTATTTTTAAAGTTTGGCTGAAAATATGGACCCTCAGTTTTCCTGAGTCAGCTAGAGAACCTGCCAAAGATATGGCAGAATGCTAAACTAATCTACTCAGGATCAGTGAAAATCCTGGCTGGGAGCCAGACTATAATAACTCAGACAAAAATTACAAAGGAGAGCTGGTTCTAGAAACAATTGCACTTATAGCTGTCCCACCCTGGGGAATGGTGATAGTAAAAACAAATAGACTTTTCTAGATCTCACTGTTCTGACAACTGCATGAGGGGAGAATTATTGCTATGCCCATTTCACAGATGAAAAGGAAGCACAAAGAGGCCGAGGAACCGCCCTGGGTCTCGCAGCTAGTCACGGCACGGTGATTAAGGCCAGAATCCCTAGTTTGTGGTCTGCACCATCTTAGACAAGTCTTCCGGCCTCCCTTACCCTGGTTTCCTGTCTCTAACCTTAATACCTCAGCATAAAGTCACATAAAACAAAGTTTTTTTTGTGCTCCACACGGCACTGAACAGGTCTGATCTAAAACAAAACTCAGAGTTAAGACGTCCTGAGGTTTTCCCAAGTGGGCCACAGGTGCAGGCCTCTGGGGGTTTCCCTAGCACCTCCAGAGCTGCTGCCAACGGTCAAAAAAATTATCCTCCGACACGACCACCCTGGAGAACAGCAGTGCTTACCCGGGCCTCGGCCCGGCCTCTTCTTCTGCAGGAACGGCTGAGATCCCGGAGGGGCGGGCGGCGCCGGCAAGGCCTGCCCGCTGGGCTTGGGTGGCTGGGCCTGGAAGCTGGGGGACTTGGGGGGCAGCGGGGGTGGGACTTCACAGCTGCTGTTAGCACTTGGCAAAGGGGGCGCAGGCAAAGAGGACCTGGGGGTGCATGAGGCGTAAAGGGGGAGTGGAGGTGGCGGGGGCGGCGGCGCGGGAGGCTCCCGCACATCTTGGGCTGGGCTGGCAGCATCCGCGTTGAGCCCGGGGTGCCCACAAGGAGGGAGGAGCGGGAGCGGGGGCGGGATGGGCGGTAGGTGCAAGGGGGCTAGCTGAGGCTTCGCTGCCTTGTCACTGGGACCCAAGGCCGGGGGCGGCGGGGGCGGCGGGGGCGGCGGGGGCGGCGGGGGAGGAGGGGGCGGTGTGCAGAGCAGAGGCGGTGGAACCACTGGGGGGCTCCCTTTGGTCGGTGGGCCAGGTGGGGACACCAGCGGAGCTCTGACCGGGGAGGACGGGGGCAGGGGTGGAGGTGGGGGCGGGGGCGGTGGAGGCGGCGTGGGGGGAGGTGGGGCGGGCATGCTGGGGCGAGGAGGGACCGCTCTGGTCGCGCCGTGCCCCTCAGAGGCGTTGCCTAGCCTGGGAGACCCCGGGGGGTTGAACGGGCCGCTGAGAGTCTTGGTGGGAAGCCGTGGGGAAGGCGCTCGGGAGCCAGGGCCCTGGCCGGTCTTGCCACCTGGAAGTGAAAGAATTCTCGGTGAGCTCAGCGGGCAGAACTGGGAGAAACGGCAGGGCGTCCGCCATCGAGAGGGGCTCTGTCCAGCAAGACCTCAGGGAACCGCATGGTGCGCATTCTCTTCCCGAGTGGCCGCTGGAGGCTGTCACACAGGAGGGCCGGCCAAGGGCCTTGTCTGAAGAAACACTCTCCTCCGCGGAGATGAGCCCGGCTCCAGCTGCCAGACTGCTGTGTGGCACCAGCTCCCTGTCCTATCCCACCTCCACCCTCTGACCAGGATATAGGGCTGCCCTGACCTCCTTCACCCTCTCTCCTCTCAAGGTCACCCTCACACTCATCCTGTTATTCTCTAGGCCAGTCAGCCCGCATCTGCGGGTGTACTAACCAGAAGCTCCCGACGGAGGTTTTTCTCACTCCAGCATTTTGTGAACATGAACTTTGTTTCTGTACTGAGAGAAGGAGATTCAAGATTCCTTGAATATACTAGGTTATTGGAAAGTCAGTGGGAATACACCCTGCCTTGGGGATCCAGGTCCAGTGACCTTGAACCTCCTAGTTCCATGCCGTCTGGAAACTCAAAGATCCCTTTCTCAAGGGCTTTTGCCCGTTTCTAAGCGGCTTGCTGTCTCCTGATCTCCTAGCTCTCTTACCCTGTAGATCCTTCACCACATCAACCCCAACTTGAAATCCAGTGCTTCTTTAAGTCCAATGCCAACAGCAACAACAACTTGCTCACAGTAAGCATTTGTGTTTGGTGGATGTCATGGAAGACTCGTGTGGAGGGTGCTCCCAGGTTGGGGCCTCCTCACTCTTTGCACACCCTTTTACCCTACTTGCCACTTTTCACCCTTTTTTGCCTCTGTCATTCCAAAGAGAAAAAAGTCTCTCTCCTTGTTTAATGCACAAAAGTTCTGCAGTCACTTAAATATGTCCTTGGAGTATCACTCTCCACTTAGGAGGCATATTAAGACATTTCTTCCAAATAAATATACGGCTTTCCCTAAAAGGAATTTTTGGGAATATATTTCTCCTATTCCAGCACCTGTATATTTTATAATCTCCATGAAAATATTTGGAAACCACTAGAAAACATGTTTGCTTCTCACATCTCCAGCTTCCTGGTGCTACAGAATAGGAAACACAGGTTTCATGTCAAATTATAATGCCAGCAGCTGTTGGTGGTTGTGAGCTTTTCAGTTCCTGAGTCTCCAGTGTGTTTACCGAACCAGATGCTAAAAGTATTTGGTGCCAAAAGTCGGGCCAGTCATGGAAGGGCATGGAAGAGGTGACTCTGGGGCTGAAACCAAGTGTCAGGATCACAGTAACTGGCTTTCCAAATGGATGACCCTACTCTGGCTATGATGTGACAGCCACCTGGACACATGACTCATGACATGAGTCTCAACTGTGGAATGCTCTTCTGGAGGCAGGGGGGAGCTGTCAGTATTCCTCTGTTGAAATTTTCTTTTAGATGGCTGTGGAAGAGATAAGATCTTTGCACACAAGTATCCACCCTGGCAGACTTGGTTCCACCAGGGTGCAAAGGCAAGCATTGCAGAATGGCTGACTGTCCATGACCAGGAGCAGGAGGCCCCCACCTGGTCTTTTCGGGGTCAGAATCTACCACCTGCGATTCCAGCGTGAGGCATATTCTATGAGGTCCAGGGTAGGTGTCAGCCTCAGAGATTCCTGCTCCAAGTGCTCCAGCCTGTTTTCAATAGTCCACAGGGATGAAGATGGAGGACCTAGGCAGCTCTCCAGACAAGGCAAGGCCTCCCTCTGTACCCACCGGCCAGATGACTTTAAAGAGGTAACAACTTTGAGTAGCAGAATCAATCCCTGAATAACTAATCTTAAGTTTTTAAGTGTCTGAGAGCACCATGTATCTGAGATTCCAAAACCCTTAATGTGGGTCAGTTAAAGTACAGGAGCTTCTACTTACTAAATGGCCAACCTAATGAGAGATGGGCAAACCCGTCTGTATCATCATGTGAGCAGCAGAAGCAAGGACAGCACAAATCCTTGCCCAGCTTATGTGCGTGCCCATTCTGGGATGAAGCAGAGAGCTGAGCAGCGTGAGCTCAAGGGGAGACCCACAGGAGTCAGAGTCAGCTCTGGCGAGGAAACCAGGCAGCAGATAGGGCTCCAAGAGTGAGCACCAAGGGAAGGTTTTCCTTCATCACACGAATGCAAGCCCTAGAAATCCAACTAGAAACACAAGAGCAGACCTTGAAGTGGTAGGGAAAGGCCAGTTCGAGAGCATCAAGGGGGCTTTGTTGACATGAAAGGAATTAGCTTTTGAGCCTGGATATTTATCAAAAGATGAAATATGTCTTCCTCCTTCCATTTGTGTATGTTTCCAGGAGACCTCGTATTGCATGGAAGTCTCATTACACGTTCTATACAAGCCAGTGATGTTTAGGGTTTGTTACATAGCAACACCTAACAGACATGATGCTAGAGACCCATCACAACTCACCACTGCCAGTGAGTCCACAGTGATGTCACGAAGACCTTCTACTGTGATTTATATCCATACTTTGCAGTGTGGGCCACAATCACACCATTGCTAAGCACTCCACACTACAGCAACTCCTTCTTCAGTGATTACAATGGGATGATTTAAACAGGATGAGGATTTCAAAGATCCCTTAGAAACAAGTCCGTGTTTTGAAAACTTCCAGTATTTATGCTTCCAAAGAGGTGATCTCCTACCACATGACTATTTACTCTAAACATGGAACTTATGGGCAGGTGAGGACTGCCCTGTTGGTTCTGCAAGGCAAGGAGATAAGAGTCAAAGGTAGCCAATTTGAACTCTTCCTTACCTGCTGCATCCCTCTGGCCTGCCGGTCGTAAAACTGGAAAGCCACCAGCAAACAGATCTCCCAGGGCTGGAGGTGTGCTCCCCGCTCGAGAATTTAGAGGACCTCCTCCCTCTTTGTTGGTTCCTTTAGAACCTGTAGAGAGAAGAGGCAAGTAGGTGTGGACCTGTGAGCAGAGCTGAGTGGCCAGCTCTCACCCTGGCCATGGTCTAACACTGCCCGTGGCAGCCTTCCCTCCTCTCCCGACCAGTGTTACCCTTCTCCTACTCAACGTCTTACTCAAGGACCCCTGCCTTGTGCCCCAGCCTGTCTGCCACCCTTTCCAGGCTACCAAAGAGCCATCAGTAGTAACCACTCTGAATAAGGATCACAACAAAGGCATCTCTACACTGCCATTTAGTAGACATGTGTGTGCACGCTCAGTCTGTGGACTCTTTGTAATCCCATGAACTGTAGCCCGCCAGGCTCCTCTGGCATGGGCTTTTTTCAGGCAAGAATATTGGAGTGGGTTGCCATTTCCTCTTCCAGGCAATCTTCCCAACCCAGGGACTGAACCTGCATCTCCGGCATTAGCAGGTAGATTCTTTACCAATGAGCCACCTGGGAAGACCATTTAGTAGATGTCATCTTTTAAATTAGAAAACCCAAACACTGTAGGTAAAGAGCTGACCCCATTTTCACTTGACTGTTGTGGGAGGACTAGACGAAGAAAACCCAAAGATTTAATTTAGGCAATAATTTTAACTTCTGGTCCACAGAGCCTGGTCCAGGATTTGCAGGCAGGAAGTAAAGGTCTGCAGTGATTTCTTCTTTGGTGTTTTCATTGTCTGTCTCCCCAGCTCCCACTCCCTGGGCCTAGTGCTCTTCCCTGCACCACTTTTTTTTTTTTCTAGGGAAAAGAAAGCTCATGAGCTCGTGAGAGATGTCACTAATTCCAGCCTTCCAGATGTGTGTGATTAGCAACTACATAAAATGAGAAGACATTGAGCTTACAAGAATTTTTGGCAGACAATGTTCACAGCCTGAAGCTAATATGCACAGAGAAATCAGGGCACAGTGCCTACTGGTGGAGGAATGTGGCCAGATTATTCCTAGTATTAACATTAAACATTACTTCTTCACTAGAATGATAAAGAAATGAGTGTCCCAATAAAATGAATTGATCTGTTAACCTGTTTGTTGTTGTTCAGTCACTAAGTCATGTCCAATTCTTTGTGATCCCATGGACTGCAGCATGCCAGGCTCCTCTGTTCTCCACTGGCTCCCAGAGTTTACTCAAATTCATATCCACTGAGTCAAGCTTAACTAATTAGATGGTGGGTCTAGCCAGAACTAATTTTTATTGTAACCAATGCTGAAAATGTTTCTTAAAATAATTTGCCTATTCATGTACATTAACATATAATTACAGATATTAGATACAATTATATTTTAGGACTATCTTTGAGAATTACCATCATGTATCATTGCAAAATATATGGAGCCATAATAATACCTTATATTTAAATATATTTCTTTTTTTACTTTTGTTTTCTTTTTCTTTATATTTATTTATTTTAATTGGCAGCTAATTACTTTACAATATTGTACTGGTTTGTGCCATATTTTGTATATACTGGGCTTCCCTTGTGGCTCAGCTGGTAAAGAATCTGCTTGCAATGTGGGAGACCTGGGTTCGATCCCTGGGTTGGGAAGATCCCCTTGAGAAGGGAAAGGCTACCCACTCCAGTATTCAGGCCTAGAGAATTCTATGGACTATATAGTCCATGGGGTCACAAAGAGTTGGACATAACTGAATGACTTTCATGTTCACTTTCTTTCACTGTATGTATTATTTCAGCCTTCAACAATCTTGACCAAAAAAGAGCAGGTATTGTTATCTCCCCCCATTTTGCAGATGAGCAAACAGTCTCAGAGAGGTTCCCTGATGTGCAGAGTGGCAGAATCAGAACTCAACATGGGTCATCTGATGGCAGGAACAAGGCTCCTTTTACTCCATCATCCTCTAGAAGACATAGAAACTTAGTCATGTGATCCTGGGAGAGAATTCGGCAGAAATATTTTTTCTTATGGAAAATAAAATCTTTGCATTTGTTAGGGTTGAGACTTGAATTTTTTGCTCATTCAATTTGAGGATTATGTTGACACAGCATAAGTGATCTTTAAATGTTACTTCACAATGGATAAATACATTGTGGAACATCCATACGATCAAATCTTCAGTTCAGTTCAGTTCAGTTGCTCAGTCATGTCTGACTCTTTGCAACTCCGTGGACTGCAGCATGCCAGGCCTCCCTGTCCATCACCAACTCCTGGAGCTTGCTCAAATTCATGTCCACTGAGTCAGTGATGCCATCCAACCATCTCATCCTCTGTTGTCCCCTTCTCCTCCTGCCTTCAATCTTTCCCAGCATCAGGATCTTTTCCAGTGAGTCAGTTCTTCGCATCAGGTGACCAAAGTATTGGAGTTTCAGCTTCTGCATCAGTCCTTCCAATGAATATTCAGTGTTGATTTCCTTTAGGATTGACTGGTTTGATCTCCGTGCAGTCCAAGGGACTCTCAAGAGTTTTCTCCAATACCACAGTTCAAAAGCGTCAATTCTTCAGTGCTCAGACTTCTTTATGGTCCAACTCTCACATCCATACATGACTACTGGAGAAACCATAGCTTTGACTATATCGACCTTTGCTGGCAAAGTAATGTCTCTGCTTTTTAATATGCTGTCTAGGATGGTCACAGTGTTTTTTCCAAGGACCAAGCATCTTTTAATTTCATGGCTGCAGTCACCATCTGCAGTGATTTTGGAGCCCAAGAAAATAGTCTCTCACTGTTTCCACTGTTTCCCCATCTATTTGCCATGAAATGATGGGACCGGGTGCCATGATCTTCGTTTTTTGAATGTTGGGTTTTAAGCCAGCTTTTTCACTCTCCTCTTTCATTTTCATCAAGAGGCTCTTTAGTTCCTCTTCACTTTCTGCCATAAGGGTGGTGTCATCTGCATATTGGAGAAGGCAATGGCACCCCACTCCAGTACTTTTGCCTGGAAAATTCCATGGACAGAGGAGCCTGGTAGGCTGCAGTCCATGGGGTTGCTAAGAGTCAGACACGACTGAGCAACTTCACTTTCACTTTTCACTTTCATGATTGGAGAAGGAAATGGCAACCCACTCCAGTGTTCTTGCCTGGTGAATCCCAGGGATGGGGGAGCCTGGTGGGCTGCCATCTATGGGGCCGCACAGAGTCGGACACGACTGAAGTAACTTAGCAACAGCAGCAGCATCTGCCTATCTGAGGTTATTGATATTCCTCCTGGCAATCTTGATTCTAGTTTGTGCTTCATCCCACCCAGCATTTCACATGATACACTCTGCATAGAAGTTAAATAAGCAGGGTGACAATATACAGCTTTGACATACTCCTTTCCCAATTTGGAACCAGTCCATTGTTCCATGTCCGGTTCTAAGTGTTGTTTCTTAACCTGCACACAGATTTCTCAGGAGGCTGGTAAGGTGGTCTGGAATTCCCATCTCTTTAAGAATTTTCCACAGTTTGTTGTGATCTAGTCACAGTCAAAGGCTTTGGCATAGTTGATAAAGCAGAAGTAGATGTTTTTCTGGAATTCTCTTGCTTTTCTGTGATCCAACAGATGTAGGCAATTTGATCTCTGGTTCCTCTGCCTTTTCTAAATCCAGCTTGAACACCTGGAAGTTCTTGGTTCACCTACTGTTGAAGCCCCGCTTGGAGAATTTTCAGCATTACTTTGCTAGCATGTGAGAGTGCAACTGTGCAGTAGTTTGAACATTCTTTAGCACTGCCTTTCTTTGGGATTGGAATGAAAGCTGACCTTTTCCATTCCTGTGGCCACTGCTGAGTTTTCCAAATTTGCTGCCATATTGAGTGCAGCACTTTAACAGCATCATCTTTTAGGATTTGAAATAGCTCAACTGGAATTCCATCACCTCCACCAGCTAATGGGTATAGGTTTCCTATTGGTGTGATGGAAATGGTCTCGAACTAGACAGGGTGATGGTTGCAACAACAATGAAATATATAAATGCTACTGAATTGGACACTTTAAAAATGGTCAAAATGGTGAGTTTTATATTGTGTGTATTTTAAAACAATTAAAATAATTACTTTACCATGAAGTTTCTTTTTAAAACATTTGAAAGTTGATGGTAGATATGCTAAACATCATCCGCAGACCAGGAAAGGTAGCTCTGATTCTCTCCCCCATGTAGACCGTACACTGAGCAGGTCTGAGATGGCCAGATGTGTGTCCTGATTAGCACTTGTGGCCCTGTCCTGAGCAAGCCAGGAGTGTCTGGCTGAGCCTCACATGGCCTGCCCTTGGCTCTTAGCAGGCCAGATGCTCACTTACCCTCGATCTGCGGGGCACTGCGGTCATTGATCTGTGTAACTTTTCGGAGGCGAGTCCCTTGCTGGATATCAGCCAACAGTGCACTCCGACCTTTAGGATCTGCCTTTCTCAAGCTGGAAGCATCTGCACTTACCTGTAAGGGAATACGAGGGATTTGATTATAATTACATATAACATTTGCAGATAAGCCATATGTCCTGTCTGGGGTGAGTTTCCCCTCCCATATTTTTCTGCCCTCCCTGTTTGCTCTCCCCTGCATCACTCTCACCAGTGCAGTCATCTATGGGTCACAGGTCTTGCGGGAGGCTTAACTCCTGCCCTGCTCACATCCTGCTCCCTAGGGACCCAGAACAGATTCTTTTGTGAGCTGAAACTCCCATAATCTTAAAGAGCCCTAATTCATGGCCCCTTTTCCTCCTCATAGGTGAGCCCCATCCACTTATCTGGGCTTCTGGCTGTGTGTTTTTGACTCTGGCTCTCAGGTTCTGAATAACTGCCCTGCCCGGTGTCCCCAGGTCCCCTCCTGGACCAAATTCAGAAAGAAAGAAGTGCAGGAGATGGCAATGAAAGTTTAGTGATTGCGTTCTTCTCCGTGTCTGAGTGTGTTACTTTAATTCTCACAAAACCTTGTGAGTTTAAAGTGAGTTTACCCTCATCTTACAGGTGAGAAAGGACTATGAAATCTCTTCCCGGTCACAGGGCTAGGTCCTAACCCAGATCTGCTGAATTCCAAAGGCCACGTGCTTTTTATTTTGAAGCACTACAGAGATCAAGGGCATGGTGCTGTAGTTAGGGCAAGTATTCTCTGGACTATGAAAATGTTTTGTAAGTATGTTCACGAGAATAACCTCTGCCAGTAACACTGAGGTCCAACTGTTTCACTTCCACTGTAGCTTGTGCTGATTCAGTGGGGTCTCCATGGGCTATCAGAACCAGGGAGCAGCAGAAAGAACATACAGAGGTTGGTGGCAAATAAGGGAGGGTGGGTCACACTAGAAGACATAGCCAGGAGGACCCTCTACAGTTAGAAGGTTTATATTACATGACCTAAGATCTGCTTAAACATTTCTCAAGGTGAGAAATACTTTCTAGCACCTGTTGTATGGGGAATACCATGTCTTTGGTTTTCAGCTTAAACATCACTTTGGAGGTCTTTTCTGGCCCCTAACCTAAATAAGGCTACCCAGGGTTCTTTCTTAGGGTACCATATTCCTTTTATCCCCTGCAAGTTTGCCACAGTGTATACATTTATACTTACCATTCCTTGTGGAAAATTTCCAATTGTGGTTATGAACTGCAGATTCACCACCCCGACAAGACACTCTTAGGAAAGAGATCTTGTCCATTTTGTTCACTAATACCTCTCCAGAGAGTAAAACTTGGCCCTAGATAGGCTCAAAAACTGTTTACTGGATGAATGAATGAATGAGTATGAATGAACTAAACCCACGATGCATAACACACTGGTCTTGCTCTCAAGGGCATAAGCAGGTACCAGGGAGACAGTACACCACGCACAGCATGTGACTGAGTGTCCGAGTTGCATAGAGAGGAAGACTCCAAGAGTTCAGAAAGGATATATTTATCAGGCTCAGCAGGCTTTGAGGAAGACAGGAGACCTTAGATGGTCCTTGAAGGACAGACAGAACTTATACGAGTTCTTGCAATAGCCGTTTTCTCCACATGGCCATTTGCCAAAAAGAACCACCAGAGACTCTCCAGTGTCACAAACTGGAAATGAAGGGAATTGTGGTTTTAGTTAAAAGGTGCTGAGTCCACATTTTCACCAACTGACTCCATGGCCCAGGTGATGCATCTTACACAGGCTTTGAAGGACACAAGCTTCAGTGTCAGTTTCTTGTTGCCTGGAAACATGCTTTTGACCTCTTGAGAAGGACTCACTGATGATGGTCAACAACTGAGCTATGAGCCAGAGGTCCCAATCCTAACGATATACATTTTTTATGAATATATGTACAAATGCACACGTACAGCAGGATATTTCCCACATGAGACGATCTTTAAACTCTTTCTCTATAAACCATTAGCCCATAAGTCATTTTAAACTTCAAAATTTTAAGATTTATAAAGTTTACTCTTGTATTTAGAAACAATTAGTAACAGGAATAAAAGGCAAACAGAAATATCATGACCCTAGCCAAGAGAAGTATGAACATTTTTTTAAAAATCTAGCATTACAGTTGCAGGATTAGGGGGTGAAAGTATTTTGTAATTTCTTCCTAGTTATGAGATAAACAACACAATGAATTGCATTCTTCTGTTAAAAGAAGCAACTGGAACCATATCTCTAACAATTCCTGAGTGGGGGTGTGGGTGTTCATTTTACCATCTTTAAATGCCATTTTTAAATTGATTACCCAAATGCACCCCCCATTCCTTGACCTTGCCCATCCTAAGCTTTAAAGGTGAGCGCCATGAAGAACATGGTACATCCCTGGAATATGATTTTGGGGGGATTGTACTAGGTCTTAATTGCTTCTCAGGCTTTCCTCTAGTTGCAGAGAGTGGGGGCTACTCTCTAGTTGTGGTGTGCAGGCTTCTCATTGCAGTGGCTTCCCTTGTTAAAGAGCAGGGGCTCTAGGGCTTGTGGGCTTCAGTAGTTGCAGCACGTGAGCTCAGTAGTTGTGGCTCCTGGGCTCTAGAGCACAAGTCAATAGTTGTGGCACAGTTGATCTACGGGCATGTGGGATCTTCCTGGATCAGGGATTGAACCTGTGTTTCCTGCATTGGCAGGTGGATTCCCCACCACTGAGCCGGCCACCAGGGAAGCCCTGGAATAATGATGTGAAATTGTGTTTCTACTGAGCACAAGCCTCAGTACATTCTTGTCAATTCCACATGATAGACTTGTTGATAAACATCTTCCAAATCAGCTGGAGGGTATGGCAGGTCCCATCATGTTTCAACATCCTTCTGTGTGTGTATATGTGTGTGTGTATGTGCTCAGTCGTGTCCGACTCTGTGACCCCATGGACTGTAGCCCACAGGCTCCTCTGTCCATGGGCTTCTCCAGGCAATAATACTGGAGTGGGTTGCCATTTCCTCCTCCAGGGGATCTTCCTGATCCAGGGATCAAACTCATGTCTCCTGGGCCTCCTGCATTGGCAGGTGAATTCTTTACCACTAGTGCCATCTGCGAAACCCCACATTCTTCTTTGCTGCCTTTTTTCCCTGTGCCACTGTCTGCCAACAAAGATCCATCTAGTCAAAGCTATGGTTTTCCCAGTAGTCATGTATGGATGTAAGAGTTGGACTATAAAAAAAGCTGAGCACCAAAGAATTGATGCTTTTGAACTGTGGTGTTGGAGAAGACTCTTGAGAGTCCTTTGGACTGCAAGGAGATCCAACCAGTCCATCCTAAAGGAAATTAGTCCTGGATATTCATTGGAAGGACTGATGCTGAAGCTGAAACTCCAATACTTTGGTCACCTGATGCAAAGAACTGGCTCACTGGAAAAGACCCTGATGCTGGGAAAGATTGAAAGCGGGAGGAGAAGGGGACGAAAGAGGATGAGATGGTTGGATGGCATCACCAGCTCAATGGACATGAGTTTGAGTAAACTCTGGGAGGTGGTGATGGACAGGGAGGCCTGGTGTGCTGCAGTCCATGGGGTCTCAAAGACATGACTGAGACTGAAAAGGAACTGAACTGACTGTCTGCCCTGATGATCTTCCACTAGAGGGCGCTCCCTCACCTGGTATTAGTAAAGTTATCCTCAGTCTTTTGTGAGGTAGGAAAGAGCGAATAACTTCACAGCTAAGGGGACCACAGCTCAATTGGTTTTGTACAAAAGGGCATCTAAGGACATATTCATCTGCACATTGAAGACCATATTTTGCTGTGGTGGGTGTTTCTACTCCACCTTCAATATTTATTAACAGTTCATTTATAATTTGCTTTCTTAAAAATCAAGCCTAAGAGGTCTGGTTACTGTGGTTACTGGCTACAGAAATAAAAGTGGCTACTGGACACAGAAATAGGAAAGAGAAGATTTTCATATATTCACTGGGTCTTTTACTCTATGTAAATCCTGCTTATTGGCAACTTCACTAAAAAAATTGAGTGAGAGAGTCACTCCTGAAAACTTCTTCTATGGCAAATATATCCACCCAACAGGCTTGCCTGCCCCCTGCTACGTACAAAACAAGGAACTGAACTATCATTTCAATGTTTGCTCCTGTTCTTTCTTAACATTGTTATTGTGTGACAATTTGTGAGTTCCACACAAAGCTTTTGTCGACTCAGTTTTTCTAAAGCAAGCTTCCCATGGAATAGCCCAGGTCCTAAAAAGATGCAAAGTGGTAGAAGAGTAATGCAAATTAGACCATGGCCCTTCCAAATACAGGCTGCAAAACTGAAGTAATCCAGGAAGATTAGAACAGCACTAAGTGGGCCAAGGACAATGAGGTGTCTGTCCTCCTGTCTTGATAAATTATAAGAGCTTTTGCATATCATTTGTCATTCCAGCAAATGAGTTGATCAGGGTTCAGTATAGTTTGAGAGAGGAGGATGGAGGTCCAGCCCAAATGGAATGAAATGCATGTTGACCTGCTACTTGTGACCCTGCTGCCCTATGTCATTACTACATCTGTTTGATTGATATCGGTTTCTGTCAGAAACACTAATCAAAATCGAGCAGGTTGTTTGTCTCAAAGATGATCTTAACCCAATCAATGCAGTACGATTCCAGCCTTGCAGTCTTCTAAAGGTGACTTCTCCAAGGGGGCTGTTAAACTCAAATTAGCACTCAGCCTTCCAGGTACACAACTTGTTTCTCCCCAGCTCTCAGCCGCCCCCTGCCTTCTCTATGCTTGGGGGCAGACACGGATCAGTAGCCTGCATACTTGCATTTTTTTTTTTTACTAAATCTGAATTCCAAGAACAGCCAGAACTGGCATTCGTTTCCTCCTGCTGCTACCATATTTATGTAGAAGAGAGAGCCTGGGATCCAACAGAGACACAGGAAATAATTTCAGAGAACGTGAACTCTCCCCTGTCAGGCCTGACACAATGTTCCCTGCACCCCGAATGTGCACAAGTCAGGCTGTTACATAATGAGGCATTTTGAGATCTAACAGTTTTATTTTTTATTTTCAGAAGTTCAAATACTG